ATTGATGGTGATATGTGGACGGTTGGTCTTGAGGGGGGGGTTAATGATGGTGATGCGAAGGTTACTGATAGTGATGATCTGGGGGGATCACTGATAGTGATGATCTGGGGGGATCACTGATAGTGATATAGTGATGGGTAGTCTCTGAGTCAATGAGTGTGATGATGTGGGGTTATTGATACTGCAGACCTAGAGGGTCACTGATTGTGATGCTGCAATATTCGTATGATGATGATGATGTAACCACCAGACCACCACCGCCTGTATAGTGTCGTGAAGGCAACACAAAACATTAAATCTGTCATTGTAGAATCTTGAAAAACAGTCTCAAAAAGGTGACATTTTAAATAAAAAATTAACAATGTGAAAACGTAATTATATTTAAAGTATTTTTTTAAACTGATAAGAATCTTCCCAAGTAATTAGTAGGCTACACCACCCTAAACTTAAGCCCTATAGACTATATCAAATGAAATATGTTACTTTGGAGTATGTATATATTGAATAGTGTTTTAAATATACTTAATTTACTTAAACAAGGGTTCAAGCCACCAGAGTACAGTCTCTCAAAGACCTGAGAGGAACATGTATCCTCATAAACCATGTATAAACAAAGCCAACTAAACGAAATGAATAAAATTAACGACACAATGACGTCATTATGTTCAACGATACAGATGTTAGACCCTACAAGAGTCTGCTAAATTACGGAGGGAGGGAGGGGATGGTTGGGGTGTAGAGGGGGGAATTGTAGAGGGGTTCCACCCCCTCAACTCTCACCATTCCATACGTTTATTCGCGTCGTACTCGCTCTTAGTACAGAGGCGAGAGTCTTCTAGTTTACGAGCCTAAAATATGCCTTCGCGACAGCTCGCCCAATACGTAGATTTGAGTGCATGAAGGGAGCCAGCACCAAGGTTGTGTGTCTGGGGTGTGGTGGGCGAGCAGTGTGATGCGTCAGGGAGGTCCAGTAGCATTATAAATGTTAATCGTAAATTTCACAAATCACTGCAACAATGACTGGACTTTATAAGGAGGAATACAATAGTCTTAAGCATCACAAGATCCACCACCATTAGTAACAGTGATCGCAGTGTAAGCCGTCACTGTACAATCACTGCTACAAGCAGTCACTGTACAACCACTGCTACAAGCCGTCACTGTAAAGATCAGGTGACAATGAAGACACGACTCCCAGCGCCCTCTGTCTGCCTCTCTGGGTACCACTGAAGTAACTCCTGCAATCCGTCCTTCTAATAGAACGTCGCAATGTGTCGCACACTTTACCTCAGGCAAAAAAAATCGTCGTACTAGAAAATGGTAGCGGCTCGCGGAATTGATATACTCCGTTTTCTATTTTGGGTCCTCCGGTAGATTAGGGTAAGGGCACTTTAGTACGGCAGTTCCTCGACGTTGGGGACCTTTGCCTTTTTTTCCTTCTGTCCTCTTTTCATTGCCTTACACTTGACGGGATTGAATTCTAAGTCATTTGTCTGTCCACTTTGGAGCTTGTCAAGCTTATCGTTCAGCTCGACACCATCCCTCGAATTGTTTTTCTGCCTATAAGGTACTCTCACCCAGTTCTGCGTCATTCCTGTTATCTAGAAGGTTATCTTGAGATTTCAGGGCTTTGCGTCCCCGCGGCCCGGTCCTCAACCAGGCCTCCTTATTGTTACACCCCCCCCTCCCCCAGGAAGCAGCCCGTAGCAGCTGTAACTCCCAGGTACCTATTTACTACTAGGTAACAGGGGCCATCAGGATGAAAGAAACATTTTGCCCATTTGTCTCCGCCTCCACCGGGGATCGAAGCCGGAACCTCAGGACTGCGAATCCGAAGCGCTGTCCACTCAGACGCCCTGCTACCAAACTTATTTTTCAATTTAATACAACAGCTTTTCATGAGGAACAATATCAAATGCTTTTTGACAATGCAGGGAGATGGTCTTAATTGTATTGTATTTTGTTAACTTTGTTATAGAACTATCAAGTTTGTTAGCCACGACTTTCCTCTTCTAAAGCAATGCTGTGTTTGTGTTACAAAGTTTATACTCTCCGGGTGCTAAGTTATTCTCAGCCTGATTATGTCTTCAGCACTGTACACACAATACTTGTCAGAGGCAATGGTCTTTAAGTGCCGCCTGTCTTTTGTTTTTTAACATTGGGGGCTTCCTGAATGAACTTCTTACAGAATTCTGGAAGATCTCCTGTCTTGAGTGTTTTAGCGGCAATTTTATCAATAGGATGATAACTACCTCTACAGCTCCCAACCATTCGGGCTGGATGGTAGAGCGACGGTCTCGCTTCATGCAGGTTAGCGTTCAATCCCCGACCGTCCCCAAGTGGTTGGGCACCATTCCTTTTCCCCGTCCCATCCCAAATCCTTATCTCTTCCAAGTGATATATTGTCGTAATGGCTTGGCGCTTTCTCTTGATAATTACATTCCATTCCTTCGGCAGTTACGGTAATATAAAGTTTGATCCAGCAGACTGTGCCATGAGTAGTTCCTTTGTTTGTTTGTTTCTTTATCTCATCTACAGTGAGAACTATATCACTTAAAAGGTATTCAAAAGAAACACTTATCTTGCAATCTTTGTCTTCACATTTAATTATTTGTTGTCAAGACGTGTTTGAATCTCAGAGCCTCGTACCATCTTGTTGCCCCGAGGACGTACTCTCTCCGAGTACGTCCTTAACCGTACGTCCATAACCTGATCACATGGTCTCTACGTCCTTAACCGTACGTCCATAACCTGATCACATGGTCTCCTACACTGGTCTCCTTCCTTATGTGGCTGTAGAACATCTTTGGTTTGTCCTTTGGCTTTCTTTAGAGCCCGTTTATTGTCTTCTGTAACTTCTCCACGCTTTCTTGGTCCTCTTTTTTATGCACTGCCTTTCACTTCCAATTGTACACTTGTCGACGGACGAAATGTAGCTCCTGGTACACCAGTGTCATGGTGACCAAACCACACACTAAAAGGTGAAGGAACGACGGCGTTTCGGTCCGTCCTGGACCATTCTCAAGTCGACGAGAATGGGAGTCGAGGAATCGACTTGAGAACGGTCCAGGACGGACCGAGACGACGTCGTCCCTTCACCTTCTAGTGTGTGGTCTGGTCAACATACTTCAGCCACGTTATTGTAACTCATCGTCTGCACCCGTGTCATCCACGTACACGACCACCGACGACGTGGCCCCAACTGGCGCGCGTCTCGGGCGGTCTCAACACACAGTCACCGTAACAGTGCCTCACGATACCCGCCGTCAACCGAAATCACCATCCCCCTAAACTGAAGGCGAACCTGCTCCAGGGATGCCGCGGCCTCTCCCCAAACGGCTCCCAGACGGCCGCTATAACATTAATTCACGACAGCTGTCCTCCACACGAGCGCTGATTAGCAACTCGGGATTTCCGGAGTGAACAGCGATTGACTGCAGCGTTCCCTGGTGGCGGTCCGACGACAAGTCAACTCTCGGGAGCCGATTCGGGAATAATTACAGTCTGACCAAAACAAATTCCATTCTAAGTAAGGTATTCTCTTACGGGAATTTGGAGTGGGGAAAAGAGAGCTTGAGCGTAACTACCCTGAGGGGGAGGGGGAGGGCAGGCAGATTGGTCGCCTTGCAACCATAGTCAAAGTTGGCTCGCCAGTGCCGGCTAGCCAGGGTCGTCTGGCCAGGGTCGGCTCGCCAGTGTCGGCTAGCCAGGGTCGTCTGGCCAGGGTCGGCTCGCCAGTGTCGGCTCACCAGTGTCGGCTCGCCAGGGTCGTCTGGCCAGTGTCGGCTCGCCAGGCTAGAGTGTCCCCTGACCACATCCTGCACACACACTATGAGCAGGCCAGCGCGGGAAACACAGTGTTCCAGGCGGATGATCACAAATGAGCCGTGACCATGACAGGGGGCAGGACACGGACAGCACCAACGTCACCTGCTGCTGCACACCCTCTGACACCCCTGCAGCCTCCCTAACACACCCTCTGACACCCCTGCAGCCTCCCTAACACACCCTCTGACACCCCTGCAGCCTCCCTAACACACCCTCTGACACCCCTGCAACCTCCCTAACACAAGGCAGGGAACAGATGTTGACGCAGTTAAGCCCGTGTCAACAGAAACCCTAAGCTAGGTCTCCAGGTGACAACTATCAACTTATGGATAATATACTTTACAGTAATACAACATTTGAGATTTTCTTAAAAAATCTTCACAGTAAAAAGAACAATGTAAACTTGGACAAAACTCACCTGATTTATATAATAAAAACAATTAAAATCGACAGTATGTTTACTGTGATAAATGTTGCACACACACACACACACACGCCCGAAGTCCTGATATTAAACCAAGAACGTTTTAACAGCTGGAATACGTTCTTGCTTCTCCTTGAGGATCAAGTCTAGGTTGGAGAGGAGGCGCGCACGGAGGCCTTGTGCCCGTGTGCCAAGTAAGGGGTCCAGACCTTTGCTACAATAAGGGTTGTGATCTATGATGCAGCGGGAGTCCTGGTCTGTGGTAGGGCAGTCTGACCTACCGTACAGCAGGGGGCAGGGGGGGGGGGGTGTGACCTACGGTACAGCAGGGGGGGAGGGGGTCTGACCTACGGTACAGCAGGGGGGGGAGGGGTGTGACCTACGGTACAGCAGGGGGGGAGGGGTGTGACCTACGGTACAACAGGGAGCAGGGGGTCTGACCTACGGTACAGCAGGGGGGGAGGGGTCTGACCTACGGTACAGCAGGGGGAGGGGTCTGACCTACGGTACAGCAGGGGGGAGGGGTCTGACCTACGGTACAGCAGGGGGGGGGGGGGAGGGGGTCTGACCTACGGTACAGCAGGGGGGGGGGAGGGGGTCTGACCTACGTTACATCAGGGGGGAGGGGTCTGACCTACGTTACAGCAGGGGGGAGGGGGTCTGACCTACAGTACAGCAGGGGGGTGTGACCTACGGTACAGCAGGGAGCAGGGGGGGGTGTGACCTACGGTACAGCAGGGGGCCTGACCTGTGGTACACTCGCAGTGGGAGTCGAGGAAGGTGAGGACGGGGGCGGTGGCGTGGCGCGCGCCCATCAGTCGGGCGCGGATCAGACCCTCCCGCTTGGGCGCCCTCACAATGCGCACCTTCGGGTACTGCGCCATGTAGTCCTCCAGCTGCTGCATCAGGTGCGCTGTGGGGGAGAACACACTGTTAACACACGGGCAGTTATGGTGTGGGAGATTGTTGCTACAATCATTATACGAGTGTGTGCGCGCTATCAGTCACACTATGGGGATAACAGCACGACACACTCACACTATGGGGATAACAGCACGACACTCACACTATGGGGATAACAGCACGACACACTCACACTATGGGGATAACAGCACGACACACTCACACTATGGGGATAACAGCACGACACACTCACACTATGGGGATAACAGCACGACACACTCACACTATGGGGATAACAGCACGACACACTCACACTATGGGGATAACAGCACGACACACTCACACTATGGGGATAACAGCACGACACACTCACACTATGGGGATAACAGCACGACACACTCACACTATGGGGATATCATCACGACACACTCACACTATGGGGATAACATCACGACACACTCACACTATGGGGATATCATCACGACACACTCACACTATGGGGATAACAGCACGACACACTCACACTATGGGGATAACAGCACGACACACTCACACTATGGGGATAACAGCACGACACACTCACACACTATGGGAGTGGAGTGCCAATACACAACAGCTATTCGACATACACAAAAGCCTCAACATTTAATACTCTCGTTATGTACACACCCTACGACACCCTTCACAGCCATACTGTGACTTAAAAAACTTGTGTATTAATATAGTATGACCTATATTTTCATAAGATTATCCTGATGTGGGAGTCGAACCCGGGTCCGAGATGTCCTACACCTACACACAATATTCCAGAGTCCACTAAAGTCTCCTCTCCTCACACTCTGTTGCATTATATAAACTAACATTCCAGAACCACAAAAGAATCCCACTACAAAAACAGAAAATTCCTTTAAAATACCCCATTAACAAAGACCTGTGAAAGATGGTGTTTTACCGAACTGTGTAAAAGACCAAGTGTTCTGCATTTAAATGGCTTCACGATTTTTTGTCCTTGTAACGAGGGGACGAAATGCGCACTATGTCCACCCGTCATTGTTGTGGTAACATTTGCTGACCTTTGGCCACCCCACTCCCCTGCACAGGGGGTGAGGTGGGTGAGACTAAGGGATAACATCACGACACAGTCACACTATGGGGGGAGTCACACTACTTAGCATCTTGGGGGCGGGGGGGGGGGGACAAACTATACTGTCAGGGGGGGACTATTGTCACCGTACAGTACACCATCTACTGATAAGATGAACCCCCATACAGACTTAATAAAAGTCATAAATGGTTGGTGAAAAAGGAACTGAATTTCAAGGGGTGAAAGCAAGAAAACCTGTTGAATTATACCAAATGAGAGGAAGACAACTACTGAATAAGTATTAAAGGAAGGCACCAAACTAACTACTGAATAGTGTATTAACAAAAATTGAAAACGTCCAAAGATAGCAACGAGTCTCGTACATGAGCTGATAAAATCAATGTGACAGAAAACTGGGCACCCACTATACTTGAAAAGTGCTGGAAAGAAAATATGTTAACGACATAAAAGATTTACAGGGGAATATATAATTTCAAAGCAAATATGTTCCTGATACTACAAGGAAACATGGCTAAAAGTTGAAGAACTTTATAAAATTTAAGAATGTTAAGAGTCAAGATATATTGTCAGGAAGAACAGTCTTAGAAGGAAGTTAAATGAAGTGGGCTCGAGAAAGAGATAACAGAAACTAATGTAAGTAATATTTTGTAAAGATAGGACAAGAAAACAGTCTGAACCGAAGAGCTATAGCACCTTTCCCTGCAAGCACAAGTCCACGAACTACGGAGAAGTAGTGGTTGTGAAGACGGAGCCCGACCACAAAGGCCGAGAACAATGCCACTAAGGCCTCCAGCCGTCTGCTTCAGGAACATGTGATTATTTCAGCAAATATTGACAGTGCGCGCGCCGCCGGCCCCAAGCCTAGCGTCAACCTTAGGCGGGGCAACTGCCAGCAAGGCAAAGGAACAGGAGGGAAACAGAAGAGCAACAGGAGAGAGGGCGAAAGAGAAGGGTAAACTTGGAAGTGGATGGGGGAAGGAGTGGAGTGAAAATAAGATGATTGAGTGATATGGAATAGAAAGGGGGGGGGAGGGGCAGATACAGTACCAAAGTTCTGTACCAGCACAAACATTATGACGTTACAGTGACGTCACAATTCTTGTATACTATGTACAAGACAACACAATCTTATTTCGTTCGGCTACGACGGGTCGGGGCTACGACGGGTCGGGGCAACGACGGGTCGGGGCTGTGAAGTTCGATACTAAATAAATATAAAGTAAGCTACCATGACTGGGGGGGGGGGGAAAGATGTAATGGTTTCATAAGTGGCATAAAATGCTTGGTGAAACCTGGCCCTCAGTCACTCATAATACCCCTCACAATGTCCTCATAGTCACTCATAATACCTTCACAATGACCCCGGCGTGTGAGCAGCGCGCCTGTGCACCAGTAGAGAGACATCCTGGCCTGTGTGTGCACAACGCACTCAACACACTTTTTTCCTAAGCCTCTTAGAGCGACACTCCCCCCCCCCTCCTCCATCCCCCCTTTTTCTCGCACCCCCTTTCCCTCACACCCCCTCCCTTTCCGGCGCCCCCTCCCACTCCCGTGCCCAACGGCTACTGGAAGGGTTGTGGTGTAGCCAGGCGAGGGCCCACCTGCGTATATTCAACTGTAACCCTACATACGGCTGTATTCCCTGTATATTATAATATACAGGCACTCTTGTATATCATACGCACAGGAGTGCCAGTATATCATACACACGAGAGCCTGTGTATCTGGGAGGACGGGTTGAGGGGATCTGATCCTCCTTAGCCAGGCTTTATGCTCTCTTGACCTGCTCTCCCCTCTCCCCCCCCCCCACCCCTTTGCGTCACCCCCTCCTCTCCTCCCCCCCTCCAGCCACCCATCGTGTCACCCCTCCTCTCTTCCCCCCCCCCCCATTGTGTCACACCACCACCCACCGTGTCACCCCTCTACCACCACCCATCGTGTCACCCCTCCACCACCACCCATCGTGTCACCCCTCCACCACCACCCATCGTGTCACCCCTCCACCACCACCCATCGTGTCACCCCTCCACCACCACCCATCGTGTCACCCCTCCACCACCACCCATCGTGTCACCCTCTCCACCCCCACCCCATCGTGTCACCCCTCCCCCCCTCCACCCATCCTCCCCGTGCGCCCATTTAAGCCTCTCACCAACTCAGGAGCCTCTTGAAGCTATTCTCTGCTCTCAAGAGCTAAATGGGGCGTTTCCACCTACAACTGGTGATCTCACGGTCGGTGGGTTGTGGTGGTGGGGTGGGGTGGGTGGGGTGGTGTGTGTGTGTGGTGGGGATGGTGAGTGTTCTAGTGATGGCTGGTGGGATATGAGCGAGTAGTGGGGTTCAACACCCCCACATCACAGTAGCCCATAACACAAAGTACCAAGGACCATACGCGCCTTACTGCCGAACTAAACAGACACTGCCGCAGTAACCTGGCACTGCCGCAGTAAGCTGGCACTGCCGAACTAAAGGGGGCGGGCACACTCACGCATGTCGGAGTTGTCGTCAACGAGGATGATCTCCTTGAGAAACTGCGGAGGAGAGCGGTCGAGGATGGAGTGCACGGTGCGGAGAAGCACCGACCAGGCCTCGTTGTGGAAGCACACAATCACAGAGGTCTCCGGCAGGTTCTCCAGAAACCGTCCGGGCGCCTTGCACCTGTGGGGGGGATAAGAACACAAAAGGCGTTAGTGGACACTTTAACACAAGATATTAACGAATATAAGATTGGTCGTGCAATCCCAAAAACGTGGCCGAGAGACTCGCCCAACCTTCACCAAAACGCCTCGGTCCTTGCGGGTATCTTGAGGTCCGCCTTGGTCATTTTAACACTTCGAAAAGGACGAAAAAAAGGGGGTAATGAATAGTTACAAGGCACGAGGACGAGGTGATGAGATACAAGTGGAAGAAAGAAGGTAATCACTTGTGTCCGGGTTTAGTTAATTGATTATATATTAATTATACATTATTCATCCTTCGCTAAGAGCTGCCACCACCACCACGAGGGCGGAACATTTCAACAAGACTGCACTGGGTACTCTGACATCATACACAACACATACAAAACGCTAACAGCCTGCGACGAGTTCGTGTAGTTCAGACTGACACACAGACTGGCCATGACAGTCTAATTCCCTATACAAATCTTAATATAAAAAATACGCAAAATTTAAGCCACTCTCTGCGTTAATAAGGCTTTTGTCTTATTGGTGAGAACGCCCACGGCAGAGAGAGAGAGAACGCCCACGGCAGAGAGAGAGAGAACGCCCACGGCAGAGAGAGAGAGAGAGAGAGAACGCCCACGGCAGAGAGAGAGAGAGAGAGAACGCGCCCACGGCAGAGAGAGAGAGAGAGAGAACGCCCACGGCAGAGAGAGAGAGAGAGAGAACGCCCACGGCAGAGAGAGAGAGAGAGAGAACGCCCACGGCAGAGAGAGAGAGAGAGAGAGAACGCCCACGGCAGAGAGAGAGAGAGAGAAACGCCCACGGCAGAGAGAGAGAGAGAGAGAGAACGCCCACGGCAGAGAGAGAGAGAGAGAACGCCCACGGCGGCAGAGAGAGAGAGAGAGAGAGAACGCCCACGGCAGAGAGAGAGAGAGAGAGAGAACGCCCACGGCAGAGAGAGAGAGAGAGAGAGAACGCCCACGGCAGAGAGAGAGAGAGAACGCCCACGGCAGAGAGAGAGAGAGAGAGAACGCCCACGGCAGAGAGAGAGAGAGAGAGAACGCCCACGGCAGAGAGAGAGAGAGAGAGAACGCCCACGGCAGAGAGAGAGAGAGAGAGAACGCCCACGGCAGAGAGAGAGAGGAGAGAGAGAACGCCCACGGCAGAGAGAGAGAGAGAGAGAGAGAAACCCGACGGCAAGAGAGAGACGAGAGAGAGAGAGAGAGAGAAACGCCCACGGCAGAGAGAGAGAGAGAGAGAGAGAACGCCCACGGCAGAGAGAGAGAGAGAGAGAGAGAACGCCCACGGCAGAGAGAGAGAGAACGCCCACGGCAGAGAGAGAGAGAGAGAGAACGCCCACGGCAGAGAGAGAGAGAGAGAGAACGCCCACGGCAGAGAGAGAGAGAGAGAGAGAGAGAACGCCCACGGCAGAGAGAGAGAGAGAGAGAGAGAACACGCCCACGGCAGAGAGAGAGAGAGAGAGAGAGAACGCCCACGGCAGAGAGAGAGAGAGAGAGAGAGAGAGAACGCCCACGGCAGAGAGAGAGAGAGAGAGAGAGAGAGACGCCCCCACGGCAGAGAGAGAGAGAGATAGAAGAGAACGCCCACCGGCAGAGAGAGAGAGAGAGAGAGAGAGACGTCCCACGGCAGAGAGAGAGAGAGAGAGAGAACCCGCCCACGGCAGAGAGAGAGAGAGAGAGAGAACGCCCACGGCAGAGAGAGAGAGAGAGAGAGAACGCCCACGGCAGAGAGAGAGAGAGAGCCCACGCCACGCAGAGAGAGAGAGAACGCCCACGGCAGAGAGAGAGAGAGAGAGAGAGAGAGAGAGAGAGAGAGAGAGAGAGAGAGAGAGAGAGAGAGAGCGCCCACGGCAGAGAGAGAGAGAGAGAGAACGCCCACGGCGAGAGAGAGAGAGAGAGAGAACGCCCACGGCAGAGAGAGAGAGAGAGAGAACGCCCACGGCAGAGAGAGAGAGAGAGAGAGAACGCCCACGGCAGAGAGAGAGAGAGAGAGAACGCCCACGGCAGAGAGAGAGAGAGAGAGAACGCCCACGCCAGAGAGAGAGAGAGAGAGAGAACGGCAGAGAGAGAGAGAGAGAGAGCGAGAGAGAGAGAGAGAGAGAGAGAGAGAGAGAGAGAGAGAGAGAGAGAGAGAGAGAACGCCCACGGCAGAGAGAGAGAGAACGCCCACGGCAGAGAGAGAGAGAGAGAACGCCCACGGCAGAGAGAGAGAGAGAGAGAAAACGCCCACGGCAGAGAGAGAGAGAGAGAAAACGCCCACGGCAGAGAGAAAACGCCCACGGCAGAGAGAAAACGCCCACGGCAGAGAGAAAACGCTCAAGCGCAGTTGGTCGAAAAGGAGATAAAGTCCAATATGAGGATACATGAAGGGGTCATTAAGTTCAAACACAGAATAAAACAAGTCCAATGGATTTTTTTTTTATTTTTTGGACTTTACATTTTTAAGGGAGGACAGGGGGGGGGGGAGGGAGGCAAAGAAGAAGGAGACGAATATGAAGGAACAAGTTTAGAAATGGGCAAGACTTTTACGAGTTACACTATCTGCCTGTCTGTCCAATGATGAGGCTGGTTACACAGGACTGTGAGGGAGCCACCGTCTGTCCAAAGATGAGTGGGGATTACACAGGACTGTGAGGGAGCCACTGTCTGTCCTAAGATGAGTGGGGATTACACAGGACTGTGAGGGAGCCACTGTCTGTCCTAAGATGAGTGGGGATTACACAGGACTGTGAGGGAGCCACTGTCTGTCCTAAGATGAGTGGGGATTACACAGGACTGTGACGGAGCTACTGTCTGTCCTAAGTTGAGTGGGGATTACACAGGACTGTGACGGAGCTACTGTCTGTCCTAAGTTGAGTGGGGATTACACAGGACTGTGACGGAGCTACTGTCTGTCCTAAGTTGAGTGGGGATTACACAGGACTGTGACGGAGCTACTGTCTGTCCTAAGATGAGAGAAGATTACACAGGACTGAGAGGTAGTCACTGTCTGTCCTAAGATGAGAGAGGATTACACAGGACTGTGAGGTAGTCACTGTCTGTCCTAAGATGAGAGAGGATTACACAGGACTGAGAGGTAGTCACTGCACAAGGGTTTCTCTGATCGCCTGTGAGATTAAATTGTAATTACTCACCACTGAACTGTCAAAAAAAGACTAATCCTCACTGTAGGTGTCTAACAGTCAACTTATTTTCTTACTGTCCGCTGATAATTGCTCTACCCCCCCCCTCCCCCCAGCACTCTCTTCCCTCCGGAGGCTCAGGAACCTGTACATCAATCAGTTGATTGACGGATGAGAGGCGGGACCAAAGAGCCAGAGCTCAACCCCGCAAGCACAACTAGGCGAGTACACACATGGGGTGGGGGGGGGGGACACAACATGGGGGTGGGGGGACACAACATGGTGGGGGGGACAACATGGTGGGGGGGGGGGACATGGTGGGGGGGCGGACAAAAACATGGGAGGACACACACAACAGGGGGGGGCACACACTTACCCCCTCTGGTGTAGGCGAACAGAGTCATGCATAAAACATCCGCCATGATCAAAGGAAACGACAAATATCATTAAGTTTAGCTTTCATGAAAGTCGGGCGAGACGCTGTTGTTGGTGGAGAGTGGTGGAGAGTGGTGGAGAGTGGTGGTGGTAGGGGGTAGTGGTGGTGGTGGTGGTGGTGGGGGGTGGTGGTGGTGGTGGAGAGTGGTGGTGGGGGGTTGTGGTGGTGGGGGGTTGTGGTGGTGGGGAGGGGGCGTGTTGGAAGATTAAGTGCACGTGTTAAGAATGCTAAGAATTTTGGATACTTATTTTCACCGAACACTTTCCATAAAACTAGATCAAGGCTGTTGGTACCCCACACTTGTTGACACCACCACCAAGGGAGTGTCAACCACCACCAAAAACGGAGTGTCAACCACCACCAACGAAGTGTCAACCACCACCATGCGCTCCGAAACCCTACAACGTTGTCTATAACAACAACCACCACCATGGTTGTGAAGCTTCCAAGCTGTTAAATAAATGTAAACAAAGCCTCCATGATGAGAGACAGATGTACAGGTTTCGTAGGATGCATAAATGCTTGTTGACTGTCCGCCCGGAGACCAAAGGTGGGGTGAAGGCGGTCATGGAAGAGGAGAGACTCGACTATCATTTTAGATTATTCCTTATTAATTTACGTGGTGTCTGTACCGGGCGAGCGCTAAGTAAGCCTAATAATGGGAGGGGGGGGGGGACCCCGGCAGAAAGGGGGGACCCCCGGCAGAAAGGGGGAACCCCCGGCAGAAAGGGGGAACCCCCGGCAGAAAGGGGGAACCCCCGGCAGAAAGGAACAGGGGAGTTGTTTGACTGCCATTTCCCCTCTCCGTACACGGTAACAGCGGGGAAGGGAGGGAATCAAGGAACTAAGGTGGGAGGGGGAGGGGGCGGGGTTGAGGCAGGGACACTCACCAATATTAGTGCAGGCAAATGAGGCGGCACCTGTCCCGGATCATCGCTCCACCACCACCTCACACACCATCTCACCCACACACACACATGTGCGCCAGGGACACCACACTATTCCAGGGACATCACACTTGTGCCAGCTAGGGACACGCACAGCAGCGACCAACAACACACAAGACGCCTCACAGTAACCTCGGCACACTGAGCCACACACAACTGTGCAGTCCTCTGCTGTTTATATTTTAAGGGGGGGGGGATACATAGTTGACTTTACCCACTTTGGGGTAGAAAAAGTGCCAAGACTTCGAGGTCAGGAGAAAACAAAAGGTCAAGATCGGGAGAGGTCTTGAAGGTCAAGGTCACAGAGGTCAGAGTACGCCCTTTTTGATATATGGTCTTCAAAAGGAAGAGTAATGATTAATATACACCATGTATGTAAGGAAAGACTGGCATGATTGACAGGTGACGTGCGTGGTGATCCCTCTTCTCTGACAGCTTACGTCACAGATGACTCGTTCTCCCATGACACA